AGATGGAAAAAAAAAATGTACAAAATGATGTAAAAATAAACTTTTGTAATTTAAAAAAAAAAAAGATTCAAGCTCCAATCACATGCTATCTCTTGAAGATAGATTTTTCTCTTGAACCATGGCCCAAAATGACAGTCATGAATGAGACAGGAGGGCACAGTCTAAGGCGAAGAGGAGGTGAAGGAGCAGGAAGGAGACCCCTTCAGGGTGTACACCTTGGCGAGTACTCTGTCATGTAATCTATATAGCCATTTGTGTAGTATGATTATGTGAAAAGAAAATGAAATTCAGTAGGGTTAACATGACTAAGCCTCCAGCAATCAAGAATGTGAATTCAGAACTACTGACTCTAAAGTCCATTTCCCATTGGAGCTTTTTGCTGGCTGAAACCAAAAGAGTGTAGTTAATACTGGAGTAGATCAGGTCATAAAATGATTTGCACAAATACAATGTTCCTGTCCTATTACTAACCTTCATTGGATAGAAAAAGTAACTCATATCACTGTTGTTCAGAAGTTTCTAGAATTACATTTTCTTTTCCAAGTTCCTAGATAGGTTAAAGTAAAATAATAAAATCATTATAGGAGGAGGACAATGAGGGAGGTTTCAGGAAACTTGGTATAAATTAGATCTGTTCTGTGGTATTTCACTAAACCCAAGAAAGCATAGAGAGGCAAACAGCAGGATTTTCTACTGCTTCGAAGTGGAATTTGATGTCACGGGCAACAGTCAGACACCCTACACTCTGAAAACCAAGACCCTGCAAACAGAGGCCAGTTCACTAAAGTCACTTGTTCATTGGACCAGCTGCTTTTTTTTTTTTAAAGATTTATTTATGCATACAGAATTGGGTACAGGTCAGAGGTGCAGGGGTGGTGAAAGGATTCACCAGAGACAGAGTAGGGTGCAGAACAGGCAGATCAACGAAGTACACTGCTGAGGGGAGCAGCGGGCGGGTCAGGAGAGGTCTGCCATGCATTCTGGGTCACCTCCCGGGCTGGGGGTTGAACTCGTGAAGTGGCTGCTTCTCGCATCATAGTGCTGTGCTTTAACCCATTGCGCCACCAGGGTGGGCCCGCAGCCAGCTGCTTTTTAAACTAAATAGCACCTCCTTGACAAAAGCTCTATTATCCAAATACCCATCACATAATAATTAGAAAGACATATATGATACCTAAGGTCAAACACACTTTCAAAAAACTGCTTTTAATTATTTGACAAAACTGTGATTAGCCCATGCCTAAACCAGATTCAATTACTTACCTGGGGCTGTGAAATTATTGGGGTGGAAGGAGAGGCGGAGGCCATGGCAGCTCAGCAGCTGTGGGCAGTGACAAGACCCCAGCACTATAACTCCAGACACAGGAGCCAAATTCTTGAGTTTCTAATCAGACAGCTGTCATACTAGGAGAAATGGCGTACCTGCAAAGGAATAGGAAACACATGTTTAGCCTGCAAGGATTAGCATATGGAAGCACATTCTTATACCAAATACCAATCACTAGCTTAATGAAGAGAGGAATTTGCTAGGTAGGGTATCTACCATCTCAAGGCAGGACTTCTGTATCATTATCCAAATCACAGATGTTGACATATTTTCACGAAGTTGACTTCAATGCTGCATGCTGAATATATGTCTTGAGGAGGCAGTTTCAAGCTATGAAATGGTGAGTGTGTACCAGGGGAAAAAGCCATCTGTCATTAAACAATAAAAGAACTGAACAGCCCACAGTAGGGAGCAGACAGTTTTTATGCAAAGGGCCGAGAGAAAAATACCATCTTCCAATCATCCAGTTCACACCTGCCCATTTGCAGATGAAGGAACGGAGGCAAGAAGCGCAGGGAAGAGTCACACATTTCATTAATTAGAACCAGATTTAGAGCAACAAGTTCCCAGAGTAGTACGAAACATAAGAAAATAAATATGTATGCTCCATGTTTACAGTTACTCAAGGAACTTAGCTACCACTTCCAAGATTCAGGAAAGGCAAGATGCCCCCACCCCAAAATAACAGGCTTCCACATGTTGAGGAAAAGGGCATTTCTAAAATCCTTTAAATCGCTTAAAGAGAAGATGCCAGATAAGCAAAAAGTATAACCAAATCTTTCATTATTGCTTATGAAAGAAACGCAAAAAGACACTAACTACTTAAGTGTGAGCCATGTCCCAACTTCCATCAAAAGACTGATGTGATTGTCTCCACACTGCAATTTAGTTTAAAAGGGGATTTTTTTTTCATTTTAGAAATTTCATGGTAAGAAAAATTTTCACTATCCTTTCTTTTATTCAAAATGTATTCCCTGAGCACCCATGTCAACCAACAGAGCCAGTACCCCGCTGCCTGCCCGCTTCTCTTAGACACACCTTTTGTCCTGCAGATGCACTCCCTAGCTTCAGGTATGCAAGATGGTACCTGAACACTTTAAACCCCTGAAAAATGAAACTTTTTATAACAGCAAATGGAATGAATCAGGATCACCAAATCCAAATCTTGAGTAGCACCAACAGTAGAATTAGATGTTCAATTCCAGTCCTTTAACCCCAAATCTTACAGCACGACCCAAAACTAACTGGAGCTGGGTGAACCACACACCCTCAGCAAAGCTGCCTTCCTAAGAAACAGGCAAGGCTTGACAACAGTTCTACAAACTACAAATTCTGATTTTTATTCTGTCTTCGAGTATTATCCTTCACTTTGGAGTTTCCACTGACCACCTAGGTTTTGATTTATTAAAACAACACCTTCTTATGTTCTTTCTTCGGTTTGCCTATTTTTATTAATAAATAAGAAGTTGTCAAACTACTTTGGTATGACATTCAACACAAAATTCCAGGGCTGCCTTGAGATGATAATGACATTCTTCTTAGTCCCTGTTCTTTTTTTTCTTTTCCTTTTTTTTTTTTTTTTGACCTGGGCAGGGTGGGGGAAGACAGGGACTTCAGATGGGAGGAAGATCTGCTTTTTAGCACACTGTGAATTCAAATGAAGAGTGCAGAAGTGCATCCTCTTTCATGATGGCTGCTAGGGTGACCAGCCTTCCTTGAGGAAATGATGGAACCCCCAGTGTACCATTTTATGCCCAGCTTATTCCTGAAGGCACTTTGTGCCCACCCCTACTTTTATTTTTCCTCTTTCCTTTTCATGAATTTATAACTCACATTACCTTGCTCTACTGCATAGGTGCCTGACAGATGAATATATAACTAGCACAGTAACACCCCCCCCCCAAAAAAAAGCAAAATAAGCAGGCAAGCAAGATTCTATGCTTAAGACTCGTAGGCTGTGTTCTCAGATCCAACATAATCTCCGCCAAGCAAAGACTTCAAGCAATATAACCTTAAAATGTTTCCAATAGAGTACACAGAGCTGCCCAAAAGGTAAATACTAGGCACTGAGCCTTCAGTAAGGAAAGGCAGGCAGATATGGATGTGGCAATACACCAGGTGGCCTCACTCAGGGGTAACTCAAGGGGGAAAGGTGGGAAATGGGACTTAATGAAAGCCCAAAGGTGCTGGGCACCACAGCACTACCTGATTTCATACATGGACAGTTTGGGGCAGGTATCATTATCTGATTTCATGATGAGAAACCTGAGGGTCTGAAAGATTGTGCAGCATGCCTAAAGTCACTCAGCCCAGAAATAAAACCTGAACCAGGAGCCTATTCTAGGGTTCATCCTTCCAAACACTAACCCTCCAGGTGAACAAAACTTAAAAGACATAGAAACTGCTTGGCATCTTTTCAAGCAAAACTCTCAGATGGGCCTGGAGAAATCAGGATGAAAGTCAAATATCCTGTCCAGTATCCAGTTTCCTCCAATTCTGAAATAGCAAACCCTGGGCTGCCTTCATTTATATAAAACTTGAATAATTGTACCTATATTCCTGTCAGATATTTGCAAGATGTGTAATATGTGAGACAGATCGCTAGTTTCATATTTTCATGAAGGCAGATAACTAACCACCTTTCTCTAAAACATTTAAAACACATCTAGGTCTGGAGCTTTTGCTATACTATGCTTAAAAGAGCCCTTTAGAAAACAGCATAAGGTTACTTAACACTAAAAGTACAAGGATGAGCAACACTTAAAAGATATAATCAGCTCTCTCAGGAGTGATATCTTAAAATCAGATGTGTGAAAACAATTAACTTCCCAACTTGATGACAAAGCTGCATAAATCCTGAGGGGACTAGACCAGATTTTTAAAAAGGCACAATGCCTCCCAACGTCCAGCCATGTAAGCTCTATCGTTCACTAGAACAATGGGGTTCCTGCTTTCCCAGAGACCCAGGCTGTCAACCTCAGAGTTGCACAGAACTTTTAAAGAAACACTTCCTTCTCCAAGTATGGAGAACCTGTTCTGCAGTTTTTCCAACCTGTCATCAACCTAACTCTATTTCCTTTGCTTAAGTTCCAAGATTGTCTCCTAGCTACAGAAAACCACAAAGCAGTGGGGATTACCCCCACTCACACCAGCTACACTTGGGCCATGCTATGGCCCTTCCCTTCTTTCCTAGTTATCTCCATCGAGGCATCTCCTCTAATCTCTATTATTCCTGTCAAAACCATACTACCGCTGATATTTCAAAACTACCTCTAATATCTCTCAATTGCAAAAGATGAAATTTGTTTTTTATATACTTGTCCTTTTATCTATTCCCTATGGTCACTGGGGTGTGAATCACCTCAATATCCTTCTTTGCAATTCGAAACAGATAAATAAATAAATTTATCATTTATAAGAAAACTACATAGACACATATGTGTCAGATTACTAAAGAAATAACCAGTTGGATAGAAAACAGAAAATATCCTGAATCAGCCCGGAAGACACAGATGGATCCCAGTTATTGCTTAAGCTTCTGGAAACGTATACTGGAAAGAATCAATATGGGGAGTGAACAGGATTAAGGCACAGCATTCCTTCCTGTCTATCTGTAACTGCCGGGACAGAGAATACGCAAATGAGAACCCAACAGTCTCATAAGGCTAATCCAGTTCAGTGGAGTGAGGGTTGGAGTGAAGGAATCCAGGCAGAGTTAGAATATATTTAAAACACACACACTAAGAGAGAGGCATGTGAGATCAAAAGAGGGGAAGAGCACAAGAGACTATGTGATGGCACACAGGTGACTTGGTGGTGGGAACTCCACGGGGACTACAACCGAGATGAGGAGGCATACATTGTACAAAGATGAACAATGATGTGAAAAATAGATAATTTTTAAAATGTAATAATTTAAAAAATTGTTAAAGAATTAACATGACAATAAACTTGACTCTTAGAACTTCAGGGGAAAAAGGTCTACGTCATACCACCCTGAACATGCCCCATCTCGTCTGATCTCAGAAGCTAAGCAGGGTCAGGCCTGGTTAGTACTTGGATGGGAGAACTTTGGAGGAAAAAATATATATGCACACTACTGGAAAGGGCTCCTGGCTCCAGGGACCAGCAGAGCCAGTAACCTCTAGCTATATTTACTTCTAATTTATATGTGGCTATGATGACTGCCCCAGAAAATATGTGGGAGTAAGAAAGAAAAAAAAAAGCTACCAGCGGCCTTCTGCTGTGGGCAGCCATGCCAAGGAAGAGTGATCTTCTCATTACTGAGTTCCAACAGACACCTCTAAGAAGTCTCTGGTTCGGAGGCAAACTTCCCTTGCTTCTAAAGCGGGTGCTGCCTCCTTCCCTGGGTCTCAAAAAAAAGTGAGTTTCCAATCAATAAATTAACTTACTATAAATCTAACCTTTCCTTTATCCAGACTTCCAACAGTGACTCATCTCAATTTCTTAAAAGAACACAGGGAAATACCCAGTGCTGCATATACACAGGCTATCTTCACTAAGGATAAGCATCAGAGAAAAACCCCAATCCAGAACGTAACTGAAAAGAGGGTGGTTTAATAGAAGGGAGGACTCTAGAATCCTGAGCAAGTTTGTACTTAAGAAATTGGTGTACTATATAAAAGGGGAAAATTTTGGAAAAATGAGGTCAGAAGAGTCCACATGAACCAAAAAAAAAAAGAGAGAGAGAGAGAGAGAGAGAAAACTGAATAATGAACTTAAATGGAGACAGTGGATATGCCAGAAAACAAATAATAATCAAAATAAAGCAGGAAATGAAATTTGGGGTGCAGAAGATAAACCAGAACTTGGAGTGAGACAGTACATAAGTAAAGATTTCCCAGATTCGACCCTCATGCAGAAGAAATGAACCAAAAAATTGCAAACGTCAGAATGATGATGCTATCAATGTTAAAATCAGGAAAGTCTAAATGTCTCCTCAGAATTTTAATAGAACCATTTAGATAAAATAGGACAAAATTTCAGACTTGAAATCCTGCTGCAGAGAGCCACCAGAAACTAAGTAGTGAAAATGCTGAACCCCAAATGTGCAGGAGTAAAAGAGATGAGCTAA